CAGGCTTCCAGAAACGAGCCCTCTATCGCAACAGGGCGGTGAGGCGGTGGTGGGGCGCACGGGCTATTTATAGCGACGGGCTCGTGATGTTGGCCACGGCGCTGGCACCCGCCGTCCGAACCAGGCGCCAACAACTGCCCTGTTATTGACTCCCGATGCCCGGCCGGCAGCACTCGGACGATGGGTCTTGGGGGACTGGCGCGTTGACATCGCCGCCGCCGTGGGAGGAAAGGCCACAGCACCTTTTGTCTCTGGGTCGGCTTCCTAACCCAAACCTTGGGTTGTTTCTTCCCAGCAGTGAGCCACTCTCCGGGAACAGCGGAACGTATTCCACTGCAAACCCGAACCGATCCCTTGGCCGATGCACCCTTGTTTATTTACAGCAGTAGTGGGTCCCTAATTTTTCATTTAGTTGTTTTCTCCCATGGTGCTGCACACCCGTTTTCTCTTTGCTGACCTGCAATGCTCCCTGTGCTTTTTGCTCTCCCGCAGTGTCTCCCCCCACCCCCCCGGGTCAGACCTCCCGTGGTCCACCTCCGTGTCCCATCTGGCATACTCCTCGCTCAGGGCGGGAGGGAGAACTGGGAAACAAGAGCCCCGGGGAAGAACTGGTACTTGTACTGCCCGGTGCTTCTTTCTGTGCTTTCAGATACAGTGGGCTGAGTGAGCAGTCGCAGGGAACGGCAGCAATTACTCTAAAGCCACCCTGATAGATCTAATTCTGTCTTGAGGGCGTGGGGGTACCTTAAATGACCTCTCAGGATCCCTTCCAGCCTTACGTAGTACTCATTACATTGCTCTGTTAACCCCATTGTATTTATGGATGCAAAAGACAGGGTAAGGACTCATACCCAGGCGAAAAAAGGCACTGAAAGGTGACAGACGGGACACCTGAGCATTCATCTCCTCTCCGTTCCCCGCCAGCTCTTCCTCGCGCTGTAGATAGCGTACCCTTGGATGCTTGCATCCACCTCCCTGCAGAGCCGCAGGGATGCTGGCGGTGTGCTTCAAAGCAGCCCGTGCCCCAAATAGCACATGTCCCAAAGGCACACTTAGCTGAGATCGTTAGCCCATCTGTACCACCAGCATGGCCCAGCCCCTCCCAGTGCTCTCTCCCTGGCGGACCTGATAGCGGAATCACAAAAGCGGTCACACAGCCTATTCTTACATCTGCCCTCGTTTGTTTTCCCTGGGCTTCATATCAATTTCGACACAGGACCTTCTTGATAGAAAATGACAAGTGACAAGCGCTGGAGGTATGATGTGCTGTTAGTGATAATCGCCTATTGAGAGCTAATGGCGCTTCTGTGCATTCACTCCAGTGACTTTAGGGAGGTGGAGTAACCACTGCCTGGAAAAAGGCCTGATTTGGACACTTTTTTCCTCGCTAATTTGTTAAAAGTTAAAACATTCTGCTTGGAGCTTAACGGGTGTGCCTTTATTACATTTTCTGGAAGGTTTGAGGTTAAAAGAAGAAATCGTTGGAAAATAGGAATCAATGAGGAGATGTCCCTTTGCCTTTTCTCTTCATCAGAGCAGCTTGAATTAAGAAGATGCTCTCGATTTCAGACCAGCTCGTTGAGAACTGAGGGGCTTTGAGCTGTTTCTTGGTAGAGCTCTGCATCTAAAAGTATTTTGTGCATGGTTCAGATGCCTCAGCTTCCAGCGCTGTCTTTTAAAGAGTTAAAAACACTTGTTCAGGGTGGGTATGAGCTTTAAAACCCTGTCAGGTGTTCTCTGGGTGCTGCAGGTGGATCATCGCCTTCCTTTATTTATGTCCCTTGTCCTCCGGTTGTCCTAAAGCACAGCAGTTCGGATGATGTGCCGCTGGTTATGGCGGCTGTGCCCAGGGCAGCACCCGGACGTTCAGCTGGCTCCCAACTGGTGCAGCACAGTGCCAAAATGGCCATGGGAGAAACTGGGTGTCGTCTTCTTGGGGCTACTAATGTAGTTTTAAGTCAAAAGTGTCTACATCACAGGGAAAATGGTCGGTTCTTTCATACGGGCTCTGTGCCTTGGGAACTGCATTTGGATGGTGTCTTGCAAAGCAAGTGAGAAACATCTCGTGGTTCCTGGAAGAGCTCAGTAGAGTACATTTTCAGAGCTGCCTAATAAGATGTTTGGGTGAGGGGACCCCTGGGACATTGGCAGGACATCCCCTCCCAGGTCCGTGTTGCTGCATTTGGGCTGGTTTTATACCCCTTTTGTGGTGGGGTGGCGATGGGGCCTCAGAGGTGGGAGGGGGCTGTGCGGTCCCCGCGCTTCTGCTGGCTGGTTGCCCTCCCTCCTGTCTGCAGGGTCCCCAAAATATCTCACTGCTGCTGGCAGCGGTGTAAGCATGGCAATTGAATTGACGTGGCCAGCGTGAAACACAAGAGCTGGTTCCCTGGGTGCGGTGCAGACGGGTTGATAGGGCAGAACCCGGGTTTTGCAGGGGAGAGCAGGCAGCCCCTGCACAATCCTCTTGTATTTGGGATATTCTCCCCCTCTGCTTCACCAGACAGTGGCAGAATCTAAGAAGTTCCTGCTCTATGTTAGCTGTATTGGGTAATTAAGCAGGAGCAGCTACCCCAGATAGTCAGAAAATCAAGAGTCAGGTCCTGAAGACTGTGAAACTTAAAACAGAGAGTGCTGCTGATGTTCTTCATGTGTGTTGCATCTATTTGCTTACTGGGTTTTAAGCCATAGAGGTTTATGGCTTCAAGCTTCATCTCGTACCACTGAGGGTTAGAAACTTGCTTCGTTTTTCCTAAAGCACTGCAGAAAGATGTGCAGGCAGCTGACTCCGGAGATGGGAATTGAAGGGAAACCATCCTACAACTGCCTGGTGAACCATGAGTGCTTGCAGGACTGCGATGTCCCCTTTCTTGTCAGTCACCCCGTACAAGTGAGATTTGCTCCCCGCAGCCCTCATGTCACAGCCTGTGCTGCACCAAGCTTCAGTTCCCCCCGTTACAAATTTAGGGGCTGGGGGGGGACATTCATTCCACCCATGTTTGCGTGACGCTTGAACAGCGTTTGTGTTACTGATACATGGGGGACACATCCTCTGCACAGGGCGGTGCTTGTGTCCCGCACATGGCGCGGAGTGGCCGTGGCAGCATGGGTGCACCCATGAGTGCTGCTTCTGCCCATTTTCCCCACTTTGACCACCTCTCCCGCAGCCTCCCAACAGTTTCAGTCTGCTCAAAAACTCTTCTCTGCCCAGCATGGAGCTGCCGGTGCCCCTGCAAAAATGTATTCCCTTACGCTTGTGGGAAATCTGGAGGGTTGGATGCCTCAGTGGGACGTGGGGCTGGAATCCCTGTTCCCCACGTGGTGGATACGTGCCGTGTGGTAGCACGGTTTTAAATAATTTGCTGTGCTCTAATCTCCAGCCCACAGGAGCCGAGTGAATTGATCCTATACTTTCTGAGCTAAGCTTAATCTTTTATTATCCGGCCAGTGCAGCTCACAGAACCGCAAGCTCCGTTTTTACTGTGGACAATTGCAAGCACCAAAAGTGGGAATCCCCGTTGGTAGAAAACACAAGTTTTTACAGGTTTCCCCTTTGCTGTTTTGGTTTAGATGACATCATAAAACGCCACAGGAAAGAGCAAACAGATGCCGGTGCCGCGGGGGACAGGCGAAGGCAGCAGGTCAAGAACAGGAATTCGGCGTACGGGTACGGGCGGCCCCGTTTCCGCGCCTGGATGCAGAGGAATTTGCAAGGTGGGTGAGTGCCCTGGAACGGTGGGGGCCTGCCAGGCGGGGAAACACGGTCGTGTCACGAAATACAGCCCTTACATCCCTCTCCTGTCTGATTCCTGCCAGCGTATAAGATGTACTCAGGCTCTGAATAGCTTTTCTCTCTGCAACAATGGAATATCAGAGCCCTTTCAGAGCATAAATTCATCCATTTCTCTCCCTTCCACCCTCTCATGAATTACTAATTCAAAGTGACTTAATATCTATTCTCTATTCCCTCTTGGCTTTGCATATTTTAATTATGCCTCTTCCTAATCCTCTTTTTCCCAGAACACACTTAAATTACCCCTTCAGTAACTGTCTGTGATAGCTCAGTTATTGGAGCTAATTTGTCACTTTTGCCAACCATGCTATTTTTATGATGAGTTTTTTTTATAATACTGAGTGATCGCACACTAATCTATGTTTGGTTCCACTAGCTTTTATCTCCAAAGCCAAAGTGATCTGTGGCATGAAATGCCATCTCTTATAAAAATTTTGCTTTATTTTTTTTTTAAATCACTGCTGAATCACTTCACTGAAGGTTTTAGTGGCATTTTGCGGAAGGTTTTAGCATCTTTGCAGCCTTCCCTTGGGGTGCCAGTGGTAGTGGGATCGCTGGGAGCAATCCTGCTTCTCTCCGATCTGCCTCCTGCTCTCATGTTCGTGGTCTCCACCACACATTGCCTTACTGAGGGTCGCTCCGGTTCAAACCTGAATGGTGGTAATTGCCCTTTGCAAATTGATTTTTCTGTCAAAAACACAGGCTTTGATATTCTTCCACACTCAAGCAACTACTGCATGCAGAGTCAAATAAATCGAACAAAATATTCTTTTTTGGCTATTCCTCAGAAAGGAGAACTTTTCCGTTCATTTATAGAATTATTTCTGCTAGTCTTAGTGTTTCAGAGGTTTTAACTGGGTCTGAATTCAGCCCTGCCAAGTGCAGAGACCCACCGAGCAGTGCGGTGCTGATGTCAGTAGCAATTTTGGGAAGCTCAGCACGACTGGGAATTTAGCCCATAATTCTTCAGGGTCTCATTTTGCTTCAGTCCTGGCTGAAACGCAGTCCCTTCTGGGCTGAGACGTGATAACCGTTATCCGAATGACAATCAGAACAGCCCGGCGCTGTAATGACAGAGGATGGAGAAGGGTATTATGCTGATTAAACCAGCAGGAGAATTCGTGCGAGCGAAGTGCTGTTATCCCTCCTGGAATATGGCTTAAACCACCTCCCCAGTGGGGAAAGATGATTTTTAATGACAAGAAATTTGAATTTCAAATCTCCTTGGAAAAAAAGAGAGTCAGGCATCGAGGCTTCTCCCCAAACCGGTCATGCTGGGCAGAGGTGCTCCTTGGCCAGCCCAGGTGTGCCGGGCACTGGGCTCTGACCCTGCACCCGAACACAGTGGGGGTGTTCCCCACCTGCTGGTGCTGTGGGGCTTTATTCACATGGTCTTCCACTGATAAATACCTACCAGCCAGCCTTTTTGCAGAGATAGAGCCTCCCATGTGTCCCGCTTCGGGATGCATGTGGCAGGCAGAGGCCTTGGTCCCCAGCTGGCGGACACAGGGTACCCCTCGCGGGCTGATGGCTCCCTCGTTAGTTAATTGCACTGGCTGAGGTGTGCCTGGAGCGCACTGCTGAGCAGAGGCTCGCTAATAGGAACTGGCTGACAGGGGCATGATTTTCTAGCAGAGCAGGGTCACCTACAGCAGGTTGCACAGGACAGCGTCCAGGTGTGCTTTGAATGTCTCCACTGTGGGAAACTCTACCACCTCTCTGGGCAGCCTGTTCCAGTGCTCCACTACCCGCAAAGTAAAGAATTTCCTCCTCATGTTCAGATGGAACTTCCTGTGTTTGAGTTTGTGCCTGTTCCCTCTTGTCCTGTTTTATCCCCCTTCAGATACTGGAAAGCTGCTAAAAGGGTTCCCTGGAGCCTTCTCTTCTCCAGGCTGAACCCCCCCAACTCTCTCAGCCTGTCCTCCCAGCAGAGGGGCTTCAGCCCTCGCAGCATCTCTGGGGCCTCCTCTGGCCCCGCTCCAACAGGTCCATGTCTTTCCTATGTTGGGGGATCCAGTGCTGGAGGCAGTGCTCCAGGTGGTGCCTCACCAGAGTAGAGTAACGGGACAGAATCCCCTCCCTCGCTCTGCTGGCCACACTTCTTCTTATGCATCCCAGAATACAGTTGGCCTTCTGGGCTGCGATTGCACATTGCTGGCTCATGTTGAGCTTCTCGTCAATCGGCACCCCCAAGTCCTTCTCCTCAGGGCTGCTCTAAATCTATTCTCTGCCCAGCCTGGATTTTGAGTCGCCCGCCCTGGAGGTATTTAACAGATGGGCAGATGTGGTGCTGAGGGACATGGTCTAGTGGTGGTTTGGGCAGTGTTAGGTTGATGGTTGGACTCGGTGACCTTAAAGGTCCCTTCCAACCTAGATGATTCTATGATTCTGTGATTCTTTTCCCCGTGGGAAGCGCCTCCTGAAGAGCACGTCCCTCCCTGCGGCCGGAGGTGCCAGTTGGGAACACTCCCAAAAATGCCATGCTGTTCACGAGCTCTCTGGGCCCAGTAGTTATTTTCTGCTGCCCCATCCCTGGAGGCGTTCAAGGCCAGGTTGGACGGGTCTTGGAGCAACCTGGGCTGGTGGGAGGTGTCCCTGCCCAGGGCAGGGGGGTTGGAACTGGGTGGTCTTTAAGGTCCCTTCTAACCCAAACCATTCTATGATTCTGTGATTCCCTGGGCAGCCTGTTCCAATGCTGGACAACCCTTTCAGTGAAGAATACACATACTCTGCTGCCCGTTTGTTTTAGAGCCAGAGCCGCTCAAGTCATCTTCACTCGTATTCCAGTGTCCCCAGGCCACGCTGGCCGTGTCACACGCTGGGGCTGAAGCCTTCATTAATCACTGGCGGTGGTGGCCCCTGACAGCAATGTCACCATTGCCTCAGAACACTTCATTTCTAATTGCTCCAAGTCATTATAAATTGCTGCGATGGAGGAATCGATGGTGTAGGATCAATACCTGCTCTGTGGTTTGTACCAGTGAGGTTCTGCTGTGTGGTCCATGGTTTAACGGCACTTGTGCTGCCCTCTGCCACGCACTGCTTTGTGCCTGGTGCATACACCCCTCTGAGCAGGCGTGCACATTTGGCTGGTGTAGCGACTTGGAAGGTGTCTGCTCCGGTATGACTACAGAAGTAGTAGTTGTGAGGAGTAATTCGGCTGTGGTGCATTGTGCCTGCGTCTGACGGAGCGCTTTCCTCACTCCGCGCTTCGGCGTGCGTCAAAATCACAAACAGGCTTAGGGGAAAGCGTTACATGCAAGATGGGCTGTTGGGGTGTGTGTGCTGCGCAGGTACGTAAAACAGCAGCCGGAGGGTGCCCCCTCCAATATATGCAGTAAGTAAGGATATGTCAAGCTAAAAAAAAATTTTCATATATATATGTGTGTATATATGTATATAAAAATTATGGTCCAGTCTTCACTTATCAAGTGCTATAATATGGGCACTCAGAGCTCTTCCAGGCTGCTGTGGGGTTGGCTCCTGGATGCTCGAGTCACTTGCCCGTCTGTATCAAAAGGCTTTTTCCATTTCACAGTTAATTAATAGCAATGTGAGCTCTGACAACAGATTGACAGGTTTCCTGATGCGAGCGTTCCTGCCTTTATTAGGAATCAGAATTGTGGAAGGCTTTTCTCTTCTATATGCTTTCAGATCAAATAACGTGTTTGTCAGGCCTATGTATAGTAAGAATGTTAGTGAGACATTGGAAAGATAAATTATTTAATATTCTGCAAAATTAATCTACTTTTCTGGAATAAATGAATGTGATTCTTGCATCACTATTTACATAGATGCTCCTGTATCATATTAAGTTAACCTTGTAATCCATTTGCAAAACTGTAGTTGCAAACCAAGTTTTGAAGGATGCTAAAATAAGGGTTTATTTTCATAGGACCTAACCGTTTCAGAAGAGGATTTGGACAACAACAATACAATCGGAGACAGTTCAGGAATACTGTGCCCGGTCCCAGGAGAAGAGCAGCTGCCCCATTAAATGGAGTGAGCCCGTTAAATCGCCAGGCATCGGCTCTGGAGGTAAGTGGGTAAGGAAGGTACAGCTCTTCCCAAACGTCACGTAGAAATCTGCTGGATTTTGTGATCCTGGATCACCCCGAAGCACAATCTACATAAAAAAAATTTACAGGCACCATCTTTCATGTGCCTGTGCACAGCATTTGTATGCATAGGTGAGTACAGAACACATATGCATATGAAATAGCAATTTTCCAGTTGGTTTTATAAGCTTATGACTCGGCATACTTTTACTGAATCAGTTCCCATGGGTTTTGCAAAAAAGATTTTTTTTTTAAAAAATGTGTTCTTAAAAGGTTTGAAAGTATTTCCTAAAAGATTTGAAAATATTTCCGTAAAAAGAAATTCCTTGTCATCTCATCTTACTGTTATCATTCAGAGGAGGTTTGGTAAGGTTCACCGTTATCTTTCCTCCACCCAGAGCATTTTCCGAGGTGCAGTGAAGTCAGAGGACAGCCTGTTGTTGACTTTGTTTCAGAGACATACTTTTCACTAGCAAGAGGGTATCCCCCCAGAAACACCGATTCCCAGGGCTGTGACAGCCAGGGGTCAGGTTGCCCATGTCCTTTAGTGTAAAATGCATTTTTTTTTCATCCGTGGCTTTCCCTTTTTCAAGTTTAAATGTTTCGGTCTCATCTCTGCTCAAAAATACTTTTAAAAAAAGATTGAAATATTTTCATTTGGGTTTTGAGTTCTTTTTAAGACTCAAGAGATGGGAAGGCAGGTACGCGTTTGCCATTAAAGTAATTCTTACAGCTTTTCTTCTAGGCATCACTAATATTAAACTGACTTGGTGTAAAAGGTGGAAATCAAGACGGTAAATAGTCCTCTGTGAGAGGGGGTTGTTCTTTTCCGCACTGATGGAAATCCACTCAATTAGGAGGTCACGTATGCTCAGTAAGCTTTTAAAAAAACACCGAAGTGGCGAACATGATGGCACATTCACTGGCTGTGTCCCGGGGGTATAAATAAGAGAGCCCTGGACCGAGCGTGCATGTGCATGGAGTGTGGCTGTTCTGGAAAATAAAGACTGTGATGACTCAGATGTTAAACGTGGCTGGGTATTAACGGAAAGTAATAAGCAGTTGCTAGGAGGCATAATTCCACGGTAGCTTCCAGCGAGGAGGCATAATTCCACGGTAGCTTCCATTTTGCAGAAGTAAACCGAGTAGGAAGAATGTAGAAACACATCTCAGTTGGTGGGTGGGAGCAGTGGTGGTGGTTGTCCTCCAGAAATAAATGAGACAGAGCCCGTGGCAGTTTGTGTCAGTAACTGCAGGAGGACCTACACTGCCTTCTGATGGGCTTCACCCTTCGGGGCTTGGGCCAGGCAACAGACATGTCTGAACAAGAAAGAGTCAGTGACCGAAAAGGAACCTGAGCAAAGCTGTCACTCTTGGCTCCTGTGAGATTTGCTCTCTCTGGACTCATTTTTTTGGGGGGGTATTTCCACATTAGAACAAAACATTCTTCCTGGTACTTGTAGTTTCATGCCCAGGACCCGAGGCACACATACTCAGTGTTGACAAGAGCGTAGACTAAGTCCAAGTGTTGAGACTACAATGCTGCTTGGTAGAAAGATTCCTGCCATAGATACAAAAGACTACGGAAGCGGCCAGGTTTTAACAGACTTAGTGAAGAATCAGTTTCCCATCATGAAAATATCAAAGGTTAAAGAAAAAGGGTGGTTCTGTTGCAAAGGAAAACCTGTTGGGAATGAGAACAGGGGGACGCAGAGCCCACGGCACGGGGCTGAGCCTGGGAGGGATCCGAAAGCAGGGAGGGACCGGTGGCAGCATCGGCAATTGCCACCTGCACGTCAGCACGGGCTGGGTTTCCCCCGGGGACGGAACCAAAGAGAATGCCAAATAAACGCAGTGGTTTGTCCGACAGCAGTGGTCGGTGGATGGGAGGATGGTGGCGAGCGGGCGCCCGCCCTTGCTCCCTCTCGGGGCACCGCGGCACGGGTGGCCGCGGCTGAGCTCTCCCGCCTCTTCCAGGGCAACAAGAACAATGACGCTTTCGCCAAAAGCAGCAGCAGCAGTGGGCAGCCGGATGGACGGCGACGGCCACCCCCAGGCCCTAAGAGATTCAGAGCAGCTGCCTCCAACACCCACGGCCCGGGGAGAAGGTAAAATCTTGGGTAACTCTGGGCTTTTCTTTTGGTTTTCGGCAATTCCCTGTGCAACTCCTGAGGCTCTGTGCTTGGTCAGTGCCAGCTGGGAGTGGCTACAGCCGTGTGCTCATGCAACATGAGAAAATACACCCCTGGGTATGTTAGGAAAGCACCAGGAAATAAGAACAACCTCGTGCTGATAGTTAATAATTCAGGTATTAGTTCTGTCATTTTATTTTAGAAAGCACGGAAAATGTGACCTTTGTATTTTTATTAAATTTTCCCTCTGTCACTTTGGGGAAAACTTTTGCAGGGTGAAATAGCATGTATTTCCATAAAGGCAGGGAATACAGATTCCAGCCGTAAGGATAGGCAGGGGGAGGGAGGGAGGGTGTCCTGCAGCGGGGCCGCAGAAGCAGATGCTGCTCCCTGGGAGCTGTGAGGATGGCAGCCTCCGGGCACTGGGCAGCCTCCGGGCACCGGGCAGCCTCGGGGTTCTTCACTGTGGTTCTTGTGTTCTCCAAGCTCCAAAGGAAGCTCCATGGCAGCCCCGACCTTCTCTGCTCTGAGCAGAGTGGGGACTGAATGACGTCCAGGGTTCCTTCTGACCAGATTTTTTTCCTCTGGTTTTCTTCTTCTTTTTTTTTTTTTTTTAATGAGCAGAGTTCAGAACAAACGCAAGCTGTTGTTTCATTTGAGCAGAAAAACAAGTTCCTCCAAAATCCTTTGCTGGCAGAAAAGACCCGTTGGGCTGAACCTGGTAACACGCAGCCTTGTTTGCTTCCCATCCTGTTTTTCAGTGCCACACTGGGTTTGATATTTCAGCATTAAACTTTAGGTGAGACCTGGAGTCATATGCACAGATGCCCTTTTCTCTCTCCCCCTTCTCCATCAGGCCTTTTCCTTTATAATAGAGCAGGTTCTGTAGAAGCGGATGCAGCAGCGCTTCTCCAAAGCCAACTTTCAGAGAGGGGTCAGTATCGAGACTTTTTTTTTTCTGCAGCCTGCTGGTGGTGACAAGCCTTCGGTTTTACCAGCCTTTGCCCAGTTGTATCTTTGCTTCTAAAAGCAACTGGGAGAGATGGATGACTTCAGGAATGAATATATTCCTAGGAAATTGTTTGCAGGACAGGCAATTTTTAATGCAGCTTAATCTAGCAGCTGGGAAATAAAAACCTGGGCGGGTGATAAAAGTAAACCTTGCAGTTTGTACAGCAGCACAAGCAGGGCAAAGTAAAGCCACCCCATACAGATCACTGTGCCGGCAGGAAACCCAAAACGAGCAAATTTCTTGACAATGTGCAAAGGAGGAGCTATTCAGATACACCAAGTGAAATGCTGGAGCAGGAATCATTGCTTCTGAGAGCTAATTCATAGAATCATAGCATGGTTTGGGTTGGAAGGGACCTCATGAAGATCATGGAGGTTGTAGAGAGGTGGGGACTGACCTATTCTCCCTGGTGTAAAGTGATAGGATGAGGGGAAATGGATTCAAGTTATGCCAGGTGAGGTTTAGATTGGATATTAGGAAATGTTTTTTCACTGAGAGGGTTATTAAACATTGGGATAGGCTGCCCAGGGAGGGGGTGGATTCGCCATCCCTGGAAGTGTTTAAAAAAAGTGCAGATGTGGTACTTGGGGACGTGGTTTAGAGGTGGTTTTGTCACGTTAGGTTGATGGTTGGACTTGTTGATCTTAAAGGTCCCTTGCAACCTCAGCAATTCTATGATTCTATGATCATCTCGTTCCACGCCCCTGCCCTGGGCAGGGACACCTCCCACCAGCCCAGGTTGCTCCAAGCCCCGTCCAACCTGGCCTTGAACACCTCCAGGAATGGGGCAGCCACAGCTTCTCGGGGCAACCTGCCCCAGGGGATCACCATCCTCACAGTTAACAATTTCTTCCTCATATCTCATCTAAATTTCCCCTCTTCCAGTGTAAAACCATTCCCCCTCGTCCCATCGCTCCCCTCCCTGATCCAGAGTCCCTCCCCAGTTCTCCTGTAGCCCCTTTAGGGACTAGAAGGCCACAATAAAGTCTCCCTAGAGCCTTCTGTTCTCCAGTCTGAACACCTCCAACTCTCTCAGCCTGTCTTCATAGGAGAGGTTCTCCAGCCTTCTTTAAGTCTGGTTGTTGTTTTTTTTTTTTAATATATTTCGCAGCAGATGGATGCTAATGGAGAAGGGAAACCACCGAGGATGAGAAGGTAATGGGTGAAGAAAGGCATGCTACAAACACGACGTGCTCTTTTGTGCTGGAATCAAAGCTGCCTACATCTCCCTGTCTCGGCAGGTGGCACGTGAAACCCAGCGCCGGGGCAGTTCTGACGGTTTCTGTGGCTAATCCCCAGGCGGGCCAGAGTGGCGCGTAAGTAAATGAGGTGACTTGTTAGGATGGGAGCCCTACAAAAGCCACTGAAAATCCCTTTAGCATTATTGCAGCTTCCCTTCTTCTATAATGAGCATGCAATGACTGGTGCGGAGCCAAAACTGTTAGCAAATGATGTCTCGTTCCCTTCACAGCGTATCTGAAAGGAGACGGTAATTACCCTGCGGCTTGTTTGTTACCCAGAGTGAGGAGAACCGGGAGGAGGTGGCAGTGGGAGGTGGTGGGCTGGTTGTGCTTGGTGTGGCGGGGGACAATGCCGCACACCCTGAAGGGACACAGTGCGCTCACTGTGCCAGAGGAGCGCAGGGTGGGGGGACAGTGTCACCCCGGTCTGAGCCGGTGTAGCATCTGGCAGCCATCTGGGGACAGGGAGAAGGGGGGTCTCTTGGCATGTCCTGGGCGCTGGGAGCACACCGTGATAGCCTTGATGTGACGCAGTCCCCAGCGCCGGGACTCTCCCAGCACCCTTTAGACTCACCCTTGAGGCTGCCCTGAGACGTCCCGTGGGACGTATGGGGCATGTGGGTGTCTCTGTGGCTCCATGTGGGTTTGCCGCTGGTGGGAAGTGAGCAGCCTTCGCGTCCTGAGTGACTGCATGTCTGTGCTTTCCCCAGGCCTGGCTCCAAGCGCCCGTTCCTGCGAAGCCGCAGGCCCCCGCCGCCGCCGGCCAAGCCCCAGCCCAAGGGGGTGCTGCTGAGGTTCAACTTCCGCGCGATGGCCAACCAGGTAGAGGGTTGGCGACGGGCCCAGCAGCGCCTTGCACCCTCCAGCAGCTCTGCCACTAAGCTCTTAACGTCGCGCTCAGGTTTTTGGGGTTGCCCATTGGGTTTGTCCGGCATAAGCCGGGAGAATGCTCCAGTAGCCACGTTGGCTCGGTTGCTCACACAACTGAAGGCGCCTGAGAAGACTGCTCAGCAACCACAGACTCAGCCCAGTTTTCCCCACTCTCTTGGCCCCTCTTGGCCTGTCCATGTGCTCGCCCGGAGCAGGGAGATGCTGCTTGTGAGCGGTCCTGGCCGGGGAAGACCATTTCACTGTCGGTACTCCCTACTCCTCAGAGACACACAGCAGTGGGCTTTGCTCTTTCTTTGCTTTGGTGACCTTCTCGGTGCCACGTTTTACGCCGAAGTATGGTCCAAAAGCCCTGGGGCAGGTTGGAAATCCTGCTCCGCCTTCTTCATTGCCGGCATTTCTTGTCTGGATGGTTTGGTTTTCCTTAGTGCCTTGTGCTCAAATGCCATCTGCTTGCTCCTGTTCTTGCCGAGGACGCCCGGTGTCTTGGGGCTGGGCACTGCTTGGAGGTTCTCCAGCCGCACGCAGTCTGTCGAGCTCCTTGTCTCCATGTTCTGAGTGGTTTTAATTGACTAACCGGCTGTGAAGTACCGTCCCGACTGATGGGCTCTAATCAATACCCCGCTGCAAGTTTGGTCGTGCTTTGCCACGAGACATGGGACTGACTCGCTCTCCCTTTCCCCCGCAGACCAGCCTGACGCTGGATGAGAGGTTCTCTGGTCTGAGGAATAAGAGGCGCTTTACAGCAGCCAGGAGTGCCGGCCGGACGGTCACCATGCCTTAGCACCGCCTGCTGCTTGCAGGGACTGCCCGTAACAGTCCAGGCCCCGTAACGGGCAGCTCAATAAAACTCGATAGATTTCCTCTGAGATAGCTAATTTGGCACTGTGCCGTCTCCTTCCTTCCACGCAGAATGAATGAGCGACTGAGGGCGGGGATGAGGCAGGACTAGAGTCGGGGCCAGAGCGCGGGGCAGGCGGGACGTGAGCGGGGCAGTGGAAGGGGACGAGCGGAGATGGATTTGTGGAGAGCGCTGTGCCGGGGAGCCGCGGGGCTGGCACCAGTCCTGTCCCCCTGCCAGGGCACCCCGTGCTGCCCAGGGTGACTCCTGCAAGAGGGAGCCCCCGCCGAGCCGTACCCGCGGAGCCTTCCCCGCGTGGTGGGACAGGGTTGAGAACACGGTGCCTACCCGTGGGGAGCGGAGCGTGTGCGGGGCTGTGGGACCTGCCCCAGCAGTGCCACCAGCAGGGACGCTGCAGCTGCCCGTGTTCCCCAGCATGGCCCCAGCTGCCGATGTGCTGTGCAGGCTGATGTCCCAGCCCAGAGGGTCGCAGCGTAAAACACCTCCATCCTGAAAACCTCTCGCTCTGCCCCATAGTCAGGCCTGAGCACCTTGCGTTTCTCTTTGGTTTGCCGTGCTGTTTGTTCTGGCTGCTGCTGCCCAGCAGGGACGCTGCAGCTGCCCGTGTTCCCCAGCATGGCCCCAGCTGCCGATGTGCTGTGCAGGCTGATGTCCCAGCCCAGAGGGTCGCAGCGTAAAACACCTCCATCCTGAAAACCTCTCGCTCTGCCCCATAGTCAGGCCTGAGCACCTTGCGTTTCTCTTTGGTTTGCCGTGCTGTTTGTTCTGGCTGCTGCTGCCGGCCCGGTTGCAGGGACAGGGAGAGCCGTGCCGTGCCGTGTCGTGCGCCAGAGTGACTTCTCGGCGCAGAGCCCAGCCAGGCTGCCCCAGCCCAAATCAGGTTTGCCAGTGCTGCAGTAGGATTTCGCATTAGGGATTGCATTAAGGATTTCGTGGGTACAGCTCTACCTGTGCTCAAAGCGCCGGTGTAACCGAACAAGTGGCTGTGAGAGGGGGGCCAGGTGCTACCGCAGCCCGATAAACATTGGCAGAGATGTTAATGAGCTGAGTCGAGTCGTTTGTTAATGAAGCCCTGCACCAGCCCAGAGTCACTGATCCATTCTCCACCCACTGCTGCAACCCAAACGCGCCGGACACGGCCTGTCACTGGGCTCTGAGCTATAATTATTGAGGTAAATATTTGATAGACTGCTTTCCGTTTTACACCGAGCATCTTTAACAAGAGACTGGACTCAGCGTTGGGTTTTACAGGATTGCGTGAAATGTTGTTAGCTGGTGCAGCCGCAATGTATGAGTCCAATGCACTGAATAAAAAACTAACCTGTCAAACGTCGCCTCCGGTTAATTCTCTTCCTTCAGCAGGCTTTTGGCACAGGTTGAGCCTTGTGGCGTGGGCACAGTGTGCGGGACTGCACGGGTGCTTTGGGGTGGCCATGGTCCCCGTCGGTGTCCCCCGCGGGCTGTGGGACGCTGGCTGGGCCATGCAGGCAGTTTGGGGCCGGCAAGGCTGGCTCCGCCTGGCAAGGCTGGCTCTGCAGCCCAGCCACGGCAGCGGCAGGTTTCTGAGAGGTATTTTGCAAAATCTTCGCTGTGATCTCTTTTGCCTTTAACATTATCGGCAAAATTATCAGAGTAGACCTGGGTCCAATCACCCTTTCATGCAAATCACAGAGTCACAGAATCACAGAATTCTCAGAGGTGGAAGGGACCTCTAGAGATCATCTAGTCCAACTCCCCTGCTAAAGCAGGACTGCCCAGAGCACATCACTCAGCACTGCATCCAGGCGGGTCTTGAAAATCTCCAGAGAAGGGGACTCCACCCCCTCCCTGGGCAGCCTGTGCCACTGCTCTGTCACCC